GAATATGGGGCTTGATCCCCTCATGAGCTTCCCGTGACATTGGGTATTGTCTGATTGAAACAGGAGTCGCGGAGGCCTTTAGTGAGATCATCAGCGGCGGCTGATCGCGTGCCATCCCCAAGCCCCCAGTCTCTGCCCAGGCCTGAGGAAACTCTCTCAGCCAGTTCTGTAGCTCCTCAGGAGATTTCTCCGGGGGTTCTGCCTCAAACAAACGGTATTCTTCCTCTAAACTGAGGGCAAGGATTTGTAGGGGGTCTCCCTTAGGACCTGTGACCCTTGGTCCCTTCTCATCAAAGTAGATTTGTGCTTTCAATTTGGTTAATAGGTCCCGTCCTAACAGCGGATGGGGGCATTCAGGTATGTGCAGGAAGGAGTGAGTTACTTGCCCTGATGCCAGCTGGACCTTTCTCTCGGCAGTCCAGTAATGCCTCTTGTTTCCAGTTGCCCCCTGCACCAGTGCAGAATGCCGGCTAAGAGGCACTCCGGCATGGGTTAGGACTGAATGTTCGGCACCAGTATCAACCAGGAAGGTCACGGGCTGCCCCCCAATCTTGAGGGTTATCCTAGGCTCAGGGGGGCGCTCCTGGCCTCGACTCCCCTAGTCCTCTAGACTAAGGAGGTCCACGGTTTTGGGCTTGGGTCGGCGGGGTCCTTGTGACTTTTTGGGGCACTCTCGGGCCCAGTGTCCCTTCTCCTTACAGTAAGCACATTGATTTTTATCAAGGGGTGGCCTCCTTCACTCTTCCGACCTATCTCCCTCTCTCCGCTGTCCCTGAGACACAACGGCGGCCAAAGCCTTTTTCATTTCCCTATGCTGTTTCTTGTCCCTTTCCTCTTGTTTCTGCCATCTCCTTTCCTCACGCTCCTCAGGAGTTTCTCTCTTATTGAACACTTTCTCTGCTTCCTTCAATAAATCTGGCAGACCTAGCGCCTGCAAACTTTCCAACCGCTGCAATTTGGTTCGGATATCTGAGCTAGACTGGTATATAAATGACAGGATGACACCTGGTGCTTGCCCTGGGTCTTCTGGATCATACGGAGTGTACATCCTATAAGCCTCCTTCAGCCTCTCTAAAAATGCAGCGGGTGATTCTTCCTTTCCCTGTATCACATTCCTTACTTGAGCCAAATTGGTAGGCCTTCTGGCGGCCGCTCGGAGACCCGCTAAGAGCAACTGGTGATAGAGACGTAGATGCTCCCTACCTTCAGGTGTATTGAAGTCCCAGTCTGGGCGAGTCAAGGGAAAAGCTGCATCGATGATATTTGGGAGTTGGGTTGGCCTCCCATCATCACCCGGAACCTGCTTCCGGGCCTCCAGGAAAACTCTCTGCTTTTCCTCTACTGTTAAGAGGGTCTGCAGGAGCTGCTGACAGTCGTCCCAAGTCGGCCTGTGAGTCACTAGGATGGACTCAATTAGTCCGGTCAAGGCAACAGGATCCCTGGAGAAAGGGGGATTATGTTGTTTCCAATTATAAAGGTCTGAGGCAGAAAAGGGCCAATATTGTAACTGATGGTTGGGCCCTTCCCGAAGCAGGAAGGCTTTGGATTCAGTGGGGGGGCCGGCTCGGCGGCCCCTGAGGCGGCCCGCGATGGGGGACTGGACTGTTTCTTTTTCTTCCTCCGAGTCCTCAGCGAGCGGGGTCATCACGGGGGGCGCGGCCGCCGGGGAGGTCGCAGCAGGCGTCGCGACTAGAGCCGCTGCGGGCGCAGCCGCCGGAGCCGCGGCCGATGTGGGGGGGGCAGCCGCCGGGGCCGCTGGTGATGCTGGGGGGGTTGGCTGGTAGGGCGGCGGTTCATTTGTCAGAAGGTCTATGAGAGGAGAGTTAGGGTCAGGGGGAAGGACAGGGGGCTTGGAAGGCTCCCTGTGGGGAAGGACTGGGTAGAGAGAAGAAAGGGGGTTAGGAGGTGCCGAAGGTTGGGGAGTGAGAGGGGGTTGTGGGAGGAAGGGCTTGACCCAGGGGAATGGTTTTTCAACCAGGGATCTCCAAATGGTGATGTAGGGAACCTGGTCTGGATTCCCATGGGGGCTGGGGGCAAACACCTTCCTCTCAACCTGTGAAATGAGAGAGAGATTAAATGACCCTTCCCGTGGCCATCCTACATCCATCATGACCCATTCGGCCTTACAGAGGGTCATCCATTTATTCTTCTTGATGACTACACCTTCATCACTCCCCCGGCCTTTGACGTCCGACCAATGGTCAGTAGTTAGGCTCAAGGGGGTAACGACAGTCTGTCCCATATTAATTCCTGGAAGGAGAAGGATTAGACAAAGAACACAAAACAAACGGACAACACAAACAAGAGACAGTTTCGCTGCGCGGCTCCGGTGTAAAACCGAAAGCAAAAACTCAGATGGGGACACGGAGTGTTTGAATTCTCCGTCCCCTACCAGCACCACGTATCCTTCTGATACGGGGGTGGCCCCGAAAAACCGTGCCCCAGAGGGGACTTCAGACCATGCCCCAGAGGGGACTTCAGACCGTGCCCCAGAGGGGACTTCAGAGACCCGTGGAACGTCTTCCAGGGTCGCAGTGGCGAAGTCCGAGCTCGTCAGCTCCTTCAGCCCCACTGACACCGACAGATTCAGGCGCGCAAACAGACAACATTCAACATTCAGACAAACCGACAACACTCAGACAGGACAGAGATGACATACACCAAGGCCAGCCGGCTTACCTCCTGACAGTGGGTCGGTGGTCCCGAGGCGGGGGGTCTCAAATCCCGGACGAGCCCCCAAATGAAAGACCCCCGAAGGTAGTCTTCCCTCTGGAGAGACCCTCGCCCAGAGATCACACCGGGACCATAAGTCAGATGCAAACAGCAAGAGGCTTTATTCAGAAACACGGGTACCTGGGGCGACACAGTCACTCAAGAAGCTCAAGAGACTGGCGCGCCGACCGGCTGGAGTGGAGGGTTTTTATAGGGTCGGGCAGCAGGAGCACGAGAAGCATGGTTTACAGGGTTCTGATTGGACGATTCAAATGAGGCCAGGTTCAAACCCAGGACAGTTCATGGTTTTTCCCCGAGCTCGACATGCCTGCTGACTTGGTTACAAGTTGTTTTTCTGACCTTTAGTACCCTGTTCTGGGGCCAGGTGGCCGACCGTAGATACCCTGTTTGTTCCTGTGCCCATGTTCTCTAACTGAACTTTCCCCGTACTTTTCAGGCCTTGCTCAAAATGTCGTTAGGCTAAACAAGTATGCTTGGGGTCTTTCACAGTATTTTGAAATGGAGATCAGTCATGCATTTCTGCAGCAAAATTTGCTCAATCTTGCAACTACTTTAGGTAATGGAGATAAAGTAAAATAGCAGGAATATTTGTACCCCTAAGATATAACACAAATATTTGACTGTTCAAATGTATTTATAATTATCAACTGTACTTCCAATTAGAAGAAAGAATATGTATCCAAAGATAATAGTGAACAATTTTAGCTACTAGTCACTAATCTTCTTGCTTTAACCACAGTAACTTAAGACATAGATAACATATTCTGCTACAGCCTGTTTCTTTCCTGCGAGCGATTTTCTGCCTACACATGTAAAATTTAGCCGCTGGCACACACACACACACACACACACACACACACACACACACACACATCTTACTAAGGTAAAAGAAACAGCTTAAAGAAACGCTAAGTAAGAAGCAACATAATGGCTTTAGTAAGCCACTCTACTTTCTTCATGAATAAAAATAGGAATGCTACATACAAAATACTATATTACTTAAAGATAAATGTACTTCATTGAGATTTATAGAAAAGAGTACATAATACAAAATAGACTGTGGCTCAGAACCATTATTCCATGCTCTAAGATTAGCAATGTCTTCTTGACTAGCCACAGTGTGCTAGATAGAATACATTATTGTATAAATAATAAAACATGCTATTATATATCATGTATAATATATAAGAAATGAATATTATTTCCAGTTCTAACATAATTGGAAGAAATAGATGTTATTATGGTATGAAAATGAAATTTCCATAACAGACTCATGTGTTGAATTCTTGATTCTCATCCTGTGGTGTTATTATTGGAGCTTCTGGGAACCAATAGAAACTTGGGCCTTGTAGGAGACAGCAGGTCACTGGAGACTTGCCTTTAAGTATACAGAATCCTTAGTATCTTCCTTGTTTGTTTCATTCAGTAAATGGCACCATGGATTGATGACTGAGACCTCTGACACGAGGAGCCAAATAAATTCTCTTTTATTGAAATGCATTATAAGAATAGAGTTGTCTGCAGGGACTTCTGATGCTTGTGAAAAAACTCTAATAAAACAAGAATATAGTCTTATAGACTCAGATTCTTAAAAAAAAACAAAGACTCATTCTTAGAATGTGGTTTCATGCTAATCCCTGGTATATCAGAGAAGAATGAGTTTACTTCAGCTGTTGTTATTCATATGTTTCTGTGAAAAAAACATTTTTGTCACATGTGGCTTGTCCTTGTGATTATACATTTTACTCACATGCTTCCTATTAATCCTCAGAGTATAAATATTCTGATGCTCTGAAGGAAGTTAGCTATTGCATAAGACTTTAACGCCCCTCATTTATCAGCTCCATTCTCCATCTCTAGAACAATAACATGCCTTTTCTTAAGTTAATAATTTCAGATATTCTGTCATTGCAACAAGAAAATTCAACACTGAAAATTGAAGCTAGAAACATAAAATAGTTGTGATTAAATTATAATTGTTTGGTCTCTGGAACTGCTTTGTGAAAGAAACTAGGAGACTTTGTAATGTGGGAGTCAGAAAATGAACATACCATAGCAGTATTTAATGACTAATTCTGGTAAGAAGTTGAAACATCATGAAGATAGGAAAGCAGATTATAAAAGCCAAGCCCATGAGACTTCAACCATGAACAGACATTTATTTATTTATTTATTTATTTATTTATTTATTTATTTATTTATTTATTTATTTTAGTTTTTCAAGACAGGGTTTCTCTGTGTAGATTTGGTGCCTGTCCTAGATCTTGCTTTGTAGAACATATGGGTCTTTAACTCAAGAGAGATCTACCTGGCTCTGCCTCCGGAGTCCTGGGATTAAAAGCATGCCGCACCACCACCTGATAACAGGTATTTATTGAGCAAAGTTAATCTGACAAAGAAGGAGTCTGTGCTCTGCAATTGAGAGTGCCCAAGTTTAAACATGACTGATTAATTAATCTAGTGTTAGAAATTTTGAGATGGTTTATCATACAGGCTGTGACATTGTTATTGCTAGCTGCATTTAGATTAATATACAGTAAGAAAAAGGAGCCAAAATCAGAAAAGGAAAAATTATAAGAACCACAAGTCGTCAAAGACCTATAGAATATGGCATTTAAAATGTTTTAAGAACTTTGACTTTCTGAACATTGAGACATGTCTGCTCCTGGCAGCACCAATCTACTTCAGTGAAGATAATGGGCATTGAAGAAACTCATTATAGACTTTGTTTTCTTTGTGGAAAAAGTAAACTACTGGGCAAAAAAGTACCCTTGCATCAACTACTTGATAAAATGTTGTATCAACTGGACATGCAGGACCCATAGGAAAGTGACCACTGAACTTTGCAAGTTGAGATGGTCCTTCAGGTTCCTGCTTTGTAGAAGAAACTTCCAGACATTCTACAGGACACACAGAGAAGTGACTGAGAGACTCTAGGCCTAGAGACTGAAGAATGGATGCCCCCATTCTTCTTCTTACCAGAAGAATGGATGCCCCCATTCTTCTTCTTACCAGAAGAACTTCAGGTAACTGTCCAGGTAGCCATCTGTCTCTCATTCATTGCTTACAATGCCCTTCCTGTTTACTTAGGTAATATATGTCTTCCTGAGGTCTTTGATGTAGTTGAAGACTAGATAGTTATAATTTTTTTTGGTTCTGATAAAAGATAATTTAGCTATGAAACTTTAAACTCACAAATATAAGATAGAATATTTTTTTAATTTTGCAAAATACAAATAGAATAGATATTGTACCTATAATTCTTGCTTGATAACTGTCCTATTATATGTAATTTTACTATGTTGTAGTTAAAACCTTCATTTTAAATAGAAAGTAAAGGGGAAATGATGGGTGATATTGCTCTGTATGCTGAGAATGTGTTGCTCTGATTGGTTGATAAATAAAATGCTGATTGGCCAGCAGCCAGGCAGGAAGAGGATATAGGTGGGATAAGCAAACAAGGAGAATTCTGGGAAGAGGAAGGCTGAGTCAGGAGATGCCAGCCTGCCATCCAGAGAATAGCATGCAAAGGCATGCATGTAAAGCCACAAAACATGTGGCAACATATAGACTAACAGAAGTGGGCTGAATTTAAATGTAAGAACTAGTCAGTGGTAGGTCTTAGCTAATGGGTGAGCAGTTTTAGTTTTAACAAAAAGGCTGGAAATAAGGAAGCCACAGTTTTTGAAGATGTGAGCATGATTAAAAACACATTAATTATTGTTCACATGAAAACAGGGAAGGTGGATGAAGGAGACCACTGGAATTGGCCAAATTTCAACACATTGAAACCTGAATGGTCTGAAATACTAACACTGACCAAAGCAATTATACTTCGAAAAAGAGCACTTTCATAGTACCTGGGGTATCCATTTAAAACAGGCTTCCTTGAAATTTTTCTGTCCAGAATTTGTTTCATGATCACTCAAGATGGCAGAGGTAAATATGAACAAGAGTTAAGAGGACCTAGTTATTTTTTGAAGTTGTGATGGAACTTGGGTCATCTGTATTGATGCTAGTTCTGTAAGCAGCAGAATTCAAGAGTTGTAGTATGATGGAGGATTTTATCTCATGTCATATCAAACAATGGTGGTCCAGACATGACCAAAAGCAATTCATGGAGAAAGTATTTTACTTCATTTACTTTCCACATCAGAGCCCATGATTGAAGGAAGTTAGGGCAGTCACTCAAACAAGGCAGGAACCCAGAAGCATGGACTGAACAGAGACCATGGAAAGATATTGATTACTGTATTTCTCTGTCTGGCTTACTAGTTTGTATTCTTATACTAACAAATACTACCTACCCAAAGCTCAATCATATACTTATGATATATTTATTGGTGTTAAATTTGTTTTTAAATAAGTGAATTTTTTTTAAAAATTTATGGTGGAGAAGAAAGTTTACTATAAATATGTGGAAGAGAAAAGCCAGAGTCAGAGACATCTGGGAGAGTCATAACTTTGAGCATAAGTGGAGAGAGGAGAGGGAAAAGGAAAGAGAGAAAA